TGCAGAGCTTTGCAGTTGACTGAAAATGTATTGTGTGTCTGACCTTCAAAACGACCTTTAGAGCACCAGGGAATCTATTGTGATGTTTACTTCAAAATCCATGAAGAATACATTTGTTGAACTCCTGCTGCATATCAAGCGCCATAGCAGGGGTATTTATTTTATTTTCAGATCCTCTGCTAACCTCTGTGGGGACTTTATAAAATTAGAAAAAGGTGCCCTGTGGCATGGCTCAGCCCTACACCAGCACAGGCCTCAGATTCCAGTCCTCTCGTCCCCCCAGCTCCTGACGTGGAGGCTGCATGGACACTAATCTATTTCCTTCTCCTAACATCTGTAGGAGGTAATGCTGCCCTTCTACAGACAAGGAACCTGAACTCAGGAAGGCTGAAGGTCTCGGGTCTTGGGGCTGGGGTGACGGCCAGGCCCGCTGAGTGCTCAGCCAGGGCTGATTGCACCGGATGCTCGACACAGCCTCACAACGAGGCTCCGGCAGCCTATCCAGACCCTCTCCCCGGGGCTGTGGGTGTTCTCATGCTGCTTGTGAGGGTGCAGCCCCTTCAGAAAGGAAGCCGCTTGTGGGTGCTTCACACAGCTGATGGGCGTAGATCGTGCTTTGACAAGCAGCGCCTTAGCATAGGAGAAGCTGAACTCTGAATTCCACCCTTTCCTGCTGCCCTGAAGACATGAAGAGAAGGAAAACAAATAATGCCAACTGAGCACCTCTTAAGCATAGGGCTCAGTTGCCGCTAGTGGATAAAACAGGAGAGGAGACAGCCACCGTCAAGGTGCTGTTGTTAATGCATCTTATCTGCCGCTGCACACATAATCAGCATCGCGCCAAGACAAAGCAGGTGGCTGGCATTGACTCCGTGGGAGATGCTGTCTCGGAGAGAAGCTTGAGACCGTGAGGTCCTCAAGCGGCCGTGGAGCGGATGGCCAACCTGAAGGGCACATTCCGTAACCGTAATGGTGACAGCAGTAAGAATTACACTTACCATGTGCTGCATTGCTGAACACCAGGCACAACGCTATCCACTTTATGTCTCTTATGTAATTTTTCTTAATACCAAGTGCCATATTCTTCCCCTGTTACATTGAAAAACTGAGCATCAAAGCAGTTCAAGGGGCTGGGCAGATGGTTCAGTGGAATAAGCGCTTCCCTGGCAAGTGCAAGGGTCTGAGTTCAATCCCCGGTTCCACCAAAAAAAAAAAAAAAAAAAAAAAAAAAAAAAAAAAAAAAAACAGTTCAAGAATTAGCTGAAGCTGACAGCTGACTGGGTGTGTGGCTTTCAGTTTAGATTTCTAGGCCAACAAATTGGGGTACTGACTTCATGCTGCTTAATAGTGTCACTTGTGGCATTTTCTCCAACTGTGATTTCAACCAAAGTTACAGCTGTCTGGGCGCCAGGGTACAAGGCTGGTCCACTAGACGCAGTGACTGTGACATCTAAAGATGAGGCTCAGGGACCTGCCTCTCCCAGGCTCCCAAAAAAGGCAGATGAAATCAGGCTTTTATGAATCTATAATCTCAAAAGAAAATGTGAAAAGTGAATGGCATTCAAGCCAGCACCTCTCTTTGTCATCCTTATTATGAAGACAGCAGCGTTGTGTTAAACAAAAATGAGCATTCAGTATAGGTTGGCTTTTTTAAATAAAGGTACAAAATACATGCCAGGCAAATAAAAAATCAGCCAGAAGGAGACAAAAAGGAATCTCCCACCTTAAATCAGCTCTTTAGGAAAAGCTAAACATTTGATTAAGTAGTTCTTGCATGAGACAAAGACTCAACGTCCTTCATGTTTGGCTAAAATGTCTCAGTGTTCCAAAACAAATAAAATAGAAAAATCTACTCATGAAACATAAGACATAATTAGCAAAATGCTCTGTGAAAAATGACTGTTAAAACTTCAGAGCTGGGGAGATAGCTTGACAGTGTAAGCACCTACCTGGCAAGCCCAAGGACCCAGGTTCAATCCCCAGTACCACATACTGTACCAAACCCAGAACCACAGGCAGTCCATGCCAGCCATCCAATCCAGGCTTGGTGGCACACACCCAAAATCCCAGAGTTGGTGAGGCTGAGACAGGAGGATGACTACAAGTCTGAGATGAATAGCGAGACCCTGTACCAAATAAATAAATAAATAAATGAAAGATTTTTTAAATAAATAAGTTTTTAAAAATTATATATACATTATATATGTAAAATTCAGCTGGAATTTGTTGTTAGACAAATTGATTTTAAAAATACCTTTACAAAAAAATACCTTTGCTTACACATTTAAAATTTAAGCCAAGTAAACATTAGGTAAACTTATTTTAGACAAATTGGCTTTCCATAAACTTAGGCAAGTTGATCTTTTTATGTTTTTACAAGTTGGGGACTTACAAATAGAAGCTGGTGGCCATGGCGGTGACCTCTCAGGTGGATATAGGTCCCAGTGGAGGGGCAGGTCCACCCTGGCCATCACACACTCGGCTGTCCCAGCCTCAGCAGCATCCCACACCAAGTGCCATAGTGGCCCCCATCAGTGGTGCTCAGCATCTCATGAACAGGAAAACAGGAAGGGACTGCCACCTGCTCAGCACGACCGGGCCGAGCACCCCTCATCCGAAAATACAAACTACAAAATGCCCCAAACTCCAAGACATTTTGATTGTTGACATCAGGCTACAGGTGACAATTTCTGATGGCTCAGTATGCCATGTGTAAAGTTATTAAAAACATTAGTTTTTTTGCGGTAAGCATAGAACGTGTATATGACATGTAGATTATTTTATATTTAGACTTGAGTTTCTCCCCCAAGCTATCCCATTATGTCTACACAAATATTCCAAAATCCAGAAAAATCTAGAGTCTGAAACACTTCTGATCCTAAGCATTTTGGATAAGGGACACTCTGCACCCAGTGGAGAAGAGAGTAACACAAGGACCAACAGGTTCTCAGGGGAGGGTCTCAGTAAGCTGGACGGGAAGGGCAAGTAGAAACTAACCAAAAAGACAAAATAGCAAGCTGTTCCAACCCAAGGGAAAGTACTGCCCAGGCTGCAGATGTAGAAGAGCAGTCAGGAGTGAAGACACATGGGTGGGGCTGGGATGCAAGGGGGCGGCTGGGTTCAGAGGGCAAGGGGGAGCCTAGGTGTCCCCTGCAGTCTCAGCAGATGGGGAAGGAGCAAAGCAGCTCTCATGGAGAATGTGAAAGAACACTGTAGCTACCTGCCCACTTGACTGGAGGTGGAGACTGAATGTGTGGGACAGCAAATCAGCCAGGTCCATGAGAGCAAGCGGGAGAGACTGCCAGGGAGCTTTCCGGACACCAGAGGAAGGGGAAGGGTGGTTTCCACTGAGGGGGAACCGGAGCGAAGCAGCGGGCTGGAGAGACGAGGCTGGCAGGTGGCCCGTGGAAGGCCCGAAGCACATATCCAGAAGCTTCAGTCCATGGATGGGTTGCAAACTGGGTTGTGACAAGGTCAGTTTCGTGCTCATGTGGCAGGGCTGTGGAGCTAGATGGCAGGAAGGCCACACCCAAGGCAGAGAGACTGCTGGAAAGAAGCTTTTTCTGTATTTTAAGACCTCTGAGATGATGTGTCAGGATATATAGTGTTCCCCCTCGTGAGGTAGGTGTGATGTCCAGACGCCCCGCTCCTCTCCTCCCATGCCCACATCTCTCCAAGGCAAGCGTGCAGGATACAGGGCACCACCACCCCTCCCCATTGCCAGATGCTTTCCAAGAATGTGGGGTCCAGGGGACTCCCCCAGAATACCCTGGGCTCAGGTCTGCCCCTGACCCCCATCAATGTGGACCATCTCTGGGAAGCTTCTGAGGCACTGGCATGGAACCCAGAGGTTGGTTTTGCACCAGACTCTACTGAGAGCAGCCTTAGCATGTGAGGGCTGTGATCAGATGGCTCAAGGGATATGCCCTTGTTTCGTGCACAATATTATTGACAATATTTTTTGACAATATTATACAAAAATTATCTCCATTAAAGCACTTGCAAGGGGCTGGGGAGATAGCTCAGTAGAATAAGCGCTTGCCTGGCAAGCACAAGGGCCTGAATTCAATCCCCGGTTCCACAAAAAAAAAAAAAAGAAAAGAAAAGAAAAGCACCTGCAAGCAGGCACAGGGGCCAGCGGTTTGATTCCCAGGCCTGTCATACTGGCCCTGCACCTGGGGCACGCTGAGATGGCAATTGAGACTGAGCATGGTGGTGCATGCTTGTAATCCCAGCACTTGGGAGGCTATAAACAGGAGAATCACAAGTCCAATCTAGTAGTGAGACCCTGAACACCCTATAGACCCTTGCCTAAAATACAGAAAAAAAAAAATTATCTCCAGTCTGTCTGTGCATGGTACAGATGGGGTTCCAAAGTATCCACAGGGAGCCCCCGAACAGTTTAGAACACCTGGATGGGTGATGCTACGTGAGCCGCGCTGGGCCACAGCTACTCCTCACACAGCAATCTCTGGAGTAGAGAAGGTCTCCCCAGGACACCGATGAGGGAATTGAGGTTGGCAGCATCCAAGTCCCTTGGGAAGGACACACTGTTAGCGGATGTGATCCTAGCTAGGGCTGGCTTGTTCCTCTGAGTGTCAGTGAAGAGACGTACTGCTGTGAAGTTGGAGACGCCGTGGCAGATCCTAGGAATGTCGACTTTGACAGCCTGTGGGTTTTCAGAAGCAGAAGTCATTGTACATACCCCCTTCTTGCTGCTTATAGTCTGGGGTGCTCAGGAGCCTCTGGGCTGATGTGACTGAGGACCGACCCTGCTGACACTGAGGTTCCTGGGGTCCCTTCAGGCCAGTGCACTGCAAGCAGGAAACAAGCTGGTGTGCTTGCTGAGTCACTCTCATCCTGCTGGGGCTTCAGTGGCTGGGTTGTGCCCCAGGGCCCCTCTCCAAGGCCACAGTCCCAACGTGGGCACATGGGCTGCTCTGGGTGTCTTCCAACCCCCCCCCCCACTCACACCTGCCTCTCACCTCCTTCTGACACAGATCCTGGCGCCCCCGTGAAATTGCCTTGTCTGCCAGTGAAACTGTCGCCTCCGCTACCTCCAAAGAAAGTCATGATCTGCATGCCCGTAGGGGGACCAGAGCTCTCCCTGGCATCCTACGCAGCCCAGAAGAGTGGGCAGCAGGGCATGGCCCAGCACCACCACACCGTCCTGCCGTCCCAGATCCAGCACCAGCTGCAGTATGGCAGCCACGGCCAGCACCTGCCCTCCTCCACCGGCACCCTCCCCATGCACCCGTCGGGCTGCAGGATGATAGACGAACTGAACAAGACGCTGGCCATGACCATGCAGAGGCTGGAAAGGTAACAGGGGCGGGGAAGGGAGGGAGGAGTGGGACTGGCTGGAGGCAGACTAGGGCTTGCAGCAGTGGACACGCCCTCATCCCCACACAGCAAAGAAAGGAAAGCTCAAAAGTAAGAGGAGAATGAAAACTGAATGTCAAGGGAAGTCAGGAGGAAAAAAATGGTACTGCCAATTGTCAAACTATAATCACATTTATCACAAAGACATAGTAACACACACACATGCACACATGCACACATACACGCACACATGCACACACATCTCTATACCTCAACACTGTGTGAAAGGATGTCTATGTAGTTAACAGAAGTTACCCTGGAGTAATGGAAATGGGCAGAAAAGAAGTTTGATTGTCATGCTTTACTGCTTGCTTCTTATTTATGTGTATTACTTTGGCGATATTCAAAAGACAATGTAAATATCAACTCGGGAAATAGAGGGCCAGCAAGGGGCTGTGGGAGGTGAAGAGCTTGGCCCTTGTTCTTGCTGGTGGGGGCAGCAAGCATTACAGCTGGATCAGGTGAAACTGCGTCTTGCAGAGGTGGCAGTCCCGAGCAGCACACCTCTCACCTGGCCCTGTCTCTAGGAGTGTTTTCCCCTACACGGGGGACGCATGCCGGCAGGCCTGCAGGAGACCCTGACTATCCCAGGCAGGGGGAGCCCTCACCTGCTACGCTGGCTATTAATTGCTCTTGTGTATGTACATGGTTGTATCCAAACTCCACCACCACTACCACCACTGCCCTGCCTCCTGCCCAAGAAATACCTGGGGTTGCCCAGCACAAAAGAGTTTCTATCCAGAACTGGAACACAGCACCCCTAACAGTGCTCGTCACAGGGTAGTGAGTGCTGTTCCTGGGGTCCAGTGGATAAGAAGGCTGCCTGAGAGGCCCAGGAGAACAGCAAGACTTTGGAGAGCCCAAGGCAAGATGCATGCAGGCTGGAGCTCTGAGGCAGGGCTCCCCCCTCCACCACGTATCGTGTGTTTGGGAAATGAATGCCTTAGAAGGGCTGCCGCCATCTCTAGGAATTCTGACTTGAGGACTTTGTTCTTTAACACCAGTCCTCCCTGCAAATGGAAAAGCAATTTAATTCAGCCCCTCGTTATTGTTTTCAACTACTGCTGCGAGTGAGAGCTGCAACAAGTCAAAGCTTAGGTGGTGCCTTTTCATCTAGTACACATAGACACCACCGTCATCCCAGTGTTGCATCCTCACACCTCCTGGGGAGACTGACTGCGTGGAGGAAGTAGGGTTGAGTGAGTTCCCAGCAGCCCCTGCTCAAAGGATGGATGGTCCACACATCACTGGTTATCCGTCTGCAGCCACCTAAGTGCAGAAATCGGGAGCACACTTTTAGATACTTGTGTAACAATTTGGCAGAATAATTCTATCTGTTGGCTTTTGTCATTAAAGAGGGCTTCATTTTATAGCATCTTTAATTATATTTTACAAAAGCATCCGTTCATGATAGGTGAAAAATTAGAAGGCGTGAACAGCTTTTAGACAGAATTGTGCTTTCTGCCTAAATATTTACACACATTTCCTTGGGCTGTGAGCTGAGGGGCTGCACCTTTAAGCCTGGGTCTTTTTACCCAAATCCAGAACTCTTTCCCGTAGCATAGCTCCGTCCCAGACAGTTGACCATCAGGATTTCCAGGGCCGGAGAGAGAGGTCAGTAGAATAAGCACTTGCCTGGCAAGCACAAGGACCCGATCCCTGGTTCCGGAAAAAAAAAAAAAAAAAAAATGATTCCGAACCCCATGGCTAGTACACACCAGGTAAATCATCCAAGCTTTGACTGCTTGAAGAAGAAACTCATGACAACATATTACTAGGATATTTTCAATTAAAACATGCCATTTCCTAATATCCATGGGTGTGGTTTTTTGGAGTTCCAATCAGTGAGTGGGTCTGTTGGACTCATGATGGGCGGGGCTCTTTATTGAAATGAATCTAAGACAACAAGCTAGAGGGAGATGTTGGAGTGTAGGAAAGAGGATCTGGCGTGCCCTGGGCACTGAGCCAAGGCTGTCTCCATACCTATGCTACCTCCACACTCCCATTGCTTCCTCTGTCTCTCTCAGCTCCAGCCCAGATCAAGTGCTGGACCCTCCTTGTGGGCCAGCCAGGATGTTGGGAATTAATTCAGCATCACTTTCACAAGACTGCCCACCCTGAGAAGAACTTTCCTCTCAAGTAAAGATTGCATTTTTCTGAGCATCCCCATGGTATCTCAGGAACCATAGAAGGATCTGAGAGAAGGCCAGTGACACAGGCCACCCTCCCACGCTCTTAGGCAATGTCACTCTTCACTGCTTAGAAATCCTCCCCATTGCCTGTCAACATGATTTTATTCTGGATCTAACCAAGTTTCATCTAGAAAGAATACTTTCTCTGTCCTCCTGGAAATTTCCAGAAAAAAAAAAAAAAGTACAAGGAGGAAAAAATATAACTGAATTCAAAGGCAATCTGTCTACAAAGATTCTTGGGCCATCTGTGCCCCAGGAGATCACCTAGGATGTCACCTGTAGAGTCTTGGCCCAAACTTGTAGTATGATCTTGAAGAAAACATGGTAGTGTAGAGATGAAGTGATATATTAAGTAGCACTGATGCTGTACTTTGGGCCATACATCTATAAAAATAGGCATCTTATCTTTGAAAGGGCCTTGACGACTTCTAGGCCCATGATGTTGTTCCTGACCACTTAAACTGATTTCTGCTTGAATGGCAGCCTCAGCCCCAAGACAGCCTGCTCCATTGGTGAGAAGGTCTGATTATTAGGGAATTCTTTTTTATATGAGATGTTTTACCTTTTGTAACATATTTCCCCCATCTTATTTTTGATCTTCCTTCAGTATAAAAAGCTTTGAGTAGGCTGGCGAGATAGCTCAGTGGACTGTGTCTTCTTAGGCAAGCACAAGGACTAGGGTTCAATCCCCAGCACCACATGCTATGCCAGCCCCAGCCCCGATCCCACCCCTGGACACACTGAGCCGCCACAAAGATCCTGTGTGGTGGTGCATGCCTGTCATCCCAGCACTGGGGAGACTGAAAACAGGAGGATCAGTATGAGTCCAAGCTGCATAGTGAGATCCTGTACCAAATACATAAAAAAAAAAAGGGGGCTTTTAGCCTGGACAAGATACAACATACCTGTAATCCCTGCTGCTCAGAAGACGAACACAGAAGTATCACAAGTTCAAGGTCCTCCGGGACAACTTGGTAAGACCCTTTCTGAAAATGAAGAAAGGGCTGGAGATGTAATTCAGTGTAAGACCCTGAGTTTAATCCCCAGTGTTGTATAGTGAATAAGCTAAAAAAAAATTTTTTTTCTTTCAAATCTATGAGGTTCTTACCATATCCTTTAGCTATGGGCTTTTCTAATACTTTTATGTATATTTCCCAGAGGTTTCGCTAAAGCTGTTCTGATGTGTTTGAAGAGGTTTTTGATCATTACCCTCACTAAGTCTGCTTGGTGGCACTAAAACATGGCGTGTAATCATTCCCAGCTTCGGCTCATCCAGATTGAGGGGAGCGGCATAGAACAAGGGCACTGTAGATCAGATGAATCAAATGGAGTAGATCTGTGTCATCCCAATCGAAGGGCTGCTGTAGCCAGCACAGCTGAGCTGGACAGAGCTTCCACCACCTGACCACATGCCTGGGCTCCAGAACCCAGCTCCAGAATTTGGATCTCACACGTGGCTCATTAGCAAAGCATGACGCTTAACCTTTGTTGGCCTTTCATTCCTTTTCTGCAAAACAAGGAGAATAATAATGCTCCCGCTCTCATTTAGGTTATTTGTGAGAATTAAATGACTTAATCCATCCAAGTCAGCTGGGTCATTGCATGGCACATTGTAAATGCCTAATAAATGGCAGTGGGCATTAAGCAAAATTATACAGCGCATAAAATTTGTCCTCAGTGCCTGTAACAGGAACACTGCAAATGGGCTCATCCAACCTTGATAGCGATTTTGTTTGTTTGTACCAGCTTCCTCAAATGAGATTGTTTTTGTTTCTCTCCATCAATGATTTGTGTCCTTTTGGAATGTTTTCTCATTTCAAACAAATATTAGGCAACTTTTTATTTGTAATATCTGCAGTCAGCTATTGATCTAGGTGGCCTCCGTTCTGGAATGCAGATTTTAAATTCTAATTAGCCACTGGTTATCTTTCTGATGCTAAGGCAGGCCTGAGTTCTCTGTAATCTTGTTTCCTCTTAGCAAAATGAAGTGGACATAGGGGCCTTCTTGGCCTCGTGGGAATTTTAGGCATGTTCTCAGGGAAGTCTCTCCCTTCATAATGAAAGGTGCTTCATGCTTTCAGTTGTTCACGCAGACACCTGGGCCCACTCTTGACACCTCTTCTTTTCTTGTACACCATGTCTAATTGTCGGCAAATCATATTCAGCTTACAGCGAGAAGATCCCCAGATTGGCCACCGGCCCTACACTCCTCCATCCTGCTGTCCCCAACCTCAGCCTCTATCATCCACCCTGCCTTGCTGCCTCCCTCCTGCCCTCCCTTTGGCCCCTTCAGACCATCCCAGCACCATGGTCAATAAGATCATGTGTCACAAAAGCCAGGCCACGACCAAATTCACTTACATTGAATGCCATAACAAGAGACTACAGCCTGCATGGCTGACCAGAAATTATTTTCTCACTGCTCTAGAGCTGCAATTCAAGATCAAGGTTCTAGCACATGGCAAGGGCCTTCCTGCTACATCTAATGTGGTAGAAAGTGGGAGGAGAAGAGGGTGAGGGCAAAAGGTGGGGCCAAACTTGCTTCTAGAACAAATCCACTCTCATGTCTCAATAATGAATCCACTCCTCCAATGATAATGATATTAATTTGTTAGTTCACCCTTAAAATCCCCACATTTCAATACTGTTGTTTTGAGGATATAGTCAAAACATAGCATTTAGTTACTGGAAGATCCATCAGTAGTTCTCAACTGAATATCTTTTAGGTAGTGGACCTTACACCTGGAG